TAGACCTAAACAGAGTAGGCCTAGAGTAGACAACCAGATATCAGCTGTGCCCCTCGTACACGGCTCATCTTCATGTACGTATTAGTGACTTGACAGGCTGTGGTTTGACGAATGGTGTACATCAAGTCAAGATTGTGAAGTATTCCACTCAGGCTTGGTGCATAACTGTCTTCTAAAAGGAAGTGATCGGTTCGAAATCAGCTATCACGAGCTAAACTGATCAGGTGAGTTTGTTCCATTCACATGATACACTCATGATATCAGGCACTCGTCGAAATATGTACTACTGGTTAAGAATAAGTGCTATCCTTTAATGTCACGTGCAATGAAAGGGATGTTCAAGCATTTGTATAGTGAATCTCTTATCCAACTGCAGGAGTTTCAAGGGCAGGCCGGGAAAAGCTAGGTGTGCGAATTGCCCGGTGTGTCAAACAACGGGAACAGTGAGGAAAATTTGTGTCACGTTGAAACCTTGATTCGCTTTCTGCATGTGCACAGAAAACCTGGTTGTTTATGAGGTTCAAGGGGAAGTTAGTTCAGTGGGAAAAATAGGCTTGGACTATCACATTCAAGCCACGGTCGTTGTGAATTGATGGAGAATAGTGAAGACGAAGATAACCGATGAATGTTCACTTTACATTGCGTAGACATCGATTTTGGGAATCTCTTTGTGACTGTGCACAAACGATGCACACCGTCCCAATAACAAGTCACTTACAAACCGACAACACTTCCTGCACGTCAGCGGTTTCTTCTTGATAATTAAGATTCTTTTTGCCAACCTCTCGATTACCTTTTGAGGAAATCTTTTTTTTTTCATAGACCAAGGAAACAGCTTCGTCGGTGGCTCCTAAGACTATTCAGCCGCCATGTTGCCCAGGTAATCTGCTGAGAAGTACTGAGGAAGTGAACTGTGAAATATTAACTGTTTGACCTAATATATAGCTTCTTGAATAGTTTCGAAGCTACGTTCAAAAGAGAGCCTGGTTTGGTCTATCCATGCGCGTACTGGAAGGTTGCAACAATCCCAAAGTGGATTTGTTTGTGAACAGGATGTTTGGCTGCAGATTTACCAATACTGAGCGTTAACAAAGTGTGCTTGAGAACATAAGTTAGTGGTTTGGGACAACTTCCAACAATTCTAGGCTGGCTCAGGATCATCTCGTGTGTCACTAGGATGGATTCATTGGACCCTTCAGTTTTTGCACCAACTCATGTATCCTTATTGACTACACTCCTCCAGAATAAGTAGTCTTTGGGAAGCACTTTGAGGGACCACACTTTGATCCCGATTACTCATACCAACAGATGCTAGTAGAAGACTGTAATTAATATGCCTACAAGACAGTGGCAGCCACTAAAACACGATTATCCCTGCACAGCTTATGAAGACAGTTTTAAAGAATCCTTTGTGCGTGCACGACTAAGTTCTAAAAATAAGTTGCCTCTCGACTAGGATTGATAGTAACCAAGCTCCTTCGGAATCCACACAGAAGCTCAACCAACCATGGATTGCAACACTTACGAGGCTTCAAAAATGAAAATGACCTTCCATCAGCCAATGTAATGTTGCCCTGTTGTGCACGATGCCATGTTCGCACGACCACTGCATCTAAAGAACTTGACGATGTTTTAATGCTTCTCTGGGAAAGGACCCGATTGCGTATGAGAGAAGGAGAACAGGAACTCTCTAATGGTGTTCCAGCATATTCAGTGTCCTGTCTTCTGGATCACACTTATTGTATTAAGTACGCCGTCAAGAATACAAACCCTTGAATGTTCCAGCATAACCCAAAAAAGATAAATCTGTAGAGCATAAGATAGACCGAACGTTTGAACCCAGGAAACGAAAACGCAGCCATTTTATTCACTGACCTCCATGTCTCTATTTTCAACCAATCGGCGAACGAAACTGCGGCAGTCATAACCACTACGTGGCGATTACGCGGTTTTTACAGCCGATGATGACTGTCAACCGCAAAGTATACTTGCAAACCGGTGACCCAGTCTATTCTCGACTGATCGTTTGTGGAGCCAAGTGCTAGCATTACAGTGGAACACATACTGGCATGCAAAGATGCACCTGGCAAAAGGCAAATAAACACCAACTTAGAAGAAAGACGGCGGATAAAACGGAAAATCAACTGCGAAGAAATGGATGGTTCGGAGGAGAGCTAAGCGTAGTTTAGAAACTGGAGCCTTAGGGTTATGTATAAGCATTCGGTCACTGCGGAATCTGATCGTGTAGTTTCGGGCGGCGATTCTTTAGTACAGGTCTCTGGTCAGCGAGATGGAAAATGGATGCTAAAAGTGGCCCACTGGATAACTACGCCACTGACCGGATGAAACTGTTGTTCAAAATATTTCGTTGATTGTTCATTAGTTTTGGTCTGAGTGGCAATCAATTGAGATCAACTTTGAGGAATTCCCACCAAACTTCAAGTGGTATATAAGTGAATACATCTAACATAAATCGTATAAAATCTCAGCTGTTAAGATTTGAATAGATCGTAATGGAGAACCCAAAGGAGAAAAGCCAACTTCTCATTTCCTGTATGCAACATATCACCAATAAGTTTGGTAAAAGCTTGTCAACAGTTCACTACCGATTTTGATAGATACTACTGAGCCTGACAATGACATCTCGGTTTCAGTCAAGTCTTCCATGTTTTGTGTCCAAGTGTTACGCTGAGGGGTACCACTCTAGATACCTCACTAGTATAAACTCCCCTCTGAACAAACGGACTAACCTTTGGTGTTCCAACATCAAGCAGGTGTTAGACCGACGGCCTATTCTTCCTGATCTATAGGCCTGCCTGCTGAGTCACATTCACATAAGGCCGTCTTTTCGCCCTTCAAAAATTGATGATGTCCCCACAAATAGTCACAAAGCCTCCAGATAGCCAAGAAGACTCTAGTAACCAATAGCTAGGACAGTGTACTGTTGGATCCTACATCTTTGAACGAACGTCAAGAATTCACAGGAATAAGTACAGCTGATCGAAGAAGTCCTATTCCACGAGCTCTAATTTGACGCAGCCTCCTGAAGTTGTTTCAACACTTCCCATTGACCAAGATCAGTACTAGTGGGTGATGAAGACATGAGCTATGACCAGGAACAGTCATTATGTTTGGGAGGTTACAGGTATTCTTGGTTTAACGGAAGCAGACGGCTATGTTGTGGTTCCAGTCGTATATGATTGCCGAGTGGCGCTCGACAATGGGAACACTGTTGTAGTAGTTCTGTAGCAACATGACACATATTCCGTATTTCGGAACCATATATGCAAAAACTGCTGAGCTAAGAAAAGCAAACGGATCAAATAAAAAATTTGGCTGAAATGCTGTTTGTAAAGCTTCTCCAACAGAATAGGTCTATGATTTACACGGCAAATATTTCCGTGGGCAGTGCGAATTGTCTTCCTTAGATGGTCATTATACCGTAAATCTTGTGAAGGAAGGCCACGATATTACCGCACTGACTTCGATGTTTTATTGTTATTCGTATAAATGGATGTTTGCACGTATGACGAAAGATAATCGTCCCTCCCCTACTAGGGTGAGTATTAGTCGCCACAGGGCTATTCCCAACTGAAAGCAGTCGAGCCATTCCTTATGAATTGTAATTTTTCATACTGAACAACTATACTTCGCGACTTTGAATGCCAATCCTTAGATGATGAATTCGGAAGAAAAACACGAACGACGGATTTAGCTACCATACATTTACATGATTTTAAGCTGCTGAGGACTATTGGACCCGGTGTTGTACTCACTTGCAATCAAGTGATTATAACGAAAGCAGAGGAATTCAGAAGTAAATATTAAAACAATAATTACAAGGCAGGTAGTAAGAATGGCGAAAAATGAACGATAAGGAAAGCCTCGTTATTTGATATAGAAATGCAAGTAAGCCCAAAGGCGAAAACCAACAAAAAAAGGAAGTTAACAGGAAACGAACGGGCCAAATACCGCCACCGGAGGGTATTTTAAAAGGGCATGGACGGTTTCAACATTATTTTGAACTGCCATGACCACTGTCGCAGAGAGGTTGCTCACGAGAAAGTTTCAACGCGCCGGAATTGATACAATATCGCAACCCAGTTGGTTTTGGACCATCGTCAAATACATGTCCTAAATGCGCGCCACAACGACAGCACTTGACTTCCACTCGCTCCATACCTTGACCGAAAAAAAGATACAAATTGAATGGAAGTTGAGCAGTCATGTACGTTTTGGAGAGCCACATCCCTTGGTCACCCGGATCGACAAGTACTGGTAGGTGTGACTCCCGGATAGATTTGACATCAGTGGGTGCCTAAAAGTGATTTATGTTACGCTGCCACTATTGGCTTAACCGCTAAAGAGAGAAAAATTGCCACACGAAACTTAACAGGCAAAGGTGAAAAACCTATGTGACCCCCAGATTGAGTATCAAGGTTTGGGTTTGGAAAAGTTAGGGTACAAAAAGAAGTAACAAGACGGAGCTCTCTGGGACCAACTACATCCTCGAATGTTAATCGCTCACTGTCATGCACACTATAATTTTCAAGTAGTAGGTGGATAATCACCTTGATATAAAACAGAGGACGTAGATCATTTTCAGAGAAGACATATTGAAGGTTGTCGCGTGCAACCTTTATCATCGTGCTACGCCACACCAAACCTGAATTGGCACAAAGTACTTTCCACAGTCCAGATCAGTCTTCTCCTTCAGAACAAAAAATTATCAAAGGTTTTCAAGAAACCTCATGCGACCATTGTTTTCAGGGAAGCTTGTCTGTTAATATCTCATTTATTTTACCGGTTCATATCTCCGTCGATTCTACAATTCACACCTTCATCAGGAAAAATTGCTGCCTCATTTTTGCAACGCCATCCTTGAATCTTCCGCTGTTTGATGTGGTTCAACCAATGACTTTGATTGTCCTGTCCCATATTAAAGACTTCCTTTCTTCTACGATTCACTGCCCACGGTAGTAAAAGAGGAAGACTACTAGTCACCAAGATAACAACACAGCAGAGTGACCACACCAGGTCGGCTGATGGGTAAACTTGCCTGAAGAAGTATCCACCTGAAGATAGACATCTTGGCGTTTCAACACATTGGAAAACGACGGCCAACCGGAATCCGAATAAAACTTCGATGCGTTGTCAAAAAGAGGTGCGTCACAAACAACACAATGATAGATGCCCGGTGAAAATTCTCGCACATACTTGCCTGAAAAGGGTCTAAAGTGGTAAATTACTTAGCTCATCAATTACCTTTCGGTGAATTTCTCTTGCGTTATCTTGTATTCAATTGCGGAAAGTTTGTCCTTAAGTTCAACTTTAGACAACCCGGTGCAGTTCTGATAGACTGGATTGGGTGCGTTCTCTTCGTTCAACAGGGATATCATCTTCGATGACAAAGGTCTTGGCCTATGCACCAAGTGCAATATATTCATCTTTACGCAAAACGTAAGTTGACGGACGCCTTTATGGAGGATAAACGGAAAGACGACTGAAGCATTACTGGAAGTACTGTTTTAATGACAGGAAAGGAGGAAAACGTAACTATTTGTTAAGCTGAACTACAGAAAATGCACGAAATGGACTCTAGTTACGCTACCGTCGAACGGCTCCAGTTATGGACAATAATAACGCATCCGAAGATGAATACAGTCAAACTTCCATTAAATCAGTCCTCTTCGGTTTAAGGAAACCAAGCCAGTTGGTTTAGGTACCGCAAGAGAGAACCAATATACTGCGACGTACAGGCCGTACGTAAACCAGATTCCCAGCGCCCAGAGCTCTGGAGAACTCGATTTCATGAATGCCATATGGACTAGTATTTTCAGGGTGGAAATCATTTTAATGCCCATATTCACCGTGTATTTGAATCTGTTCGCAACCCAGTATTCTGCAAAGTAAATACCGTGTAGCTGTTTGAACTACGCAAGCACAGCTACCAGCATTCCATTCACTAGCAAACACGGGTGCTACCCTATTGGTTTACAAAAGTTAATCCATCTAGAATAAAGCATGTGGCTACTGGGCGAAACAGTAAGTGTGTAAGTTTGAGTAGAGGATTGGAGTCATTCAGAAACTCAAAGTAAGAATAAGGTCTTTTGGGAAACCGGGCAAAGTCCATTCAGGTGATAAAAAGCGAATCCGTTATAACTCCATAAAACCATTGAAAACCAGAAAAACCGTGAAGCTTAGATGCATCGATATGGAAGCTCCGATCAGAACCACAGGAAGCAACAGTGCAAGGCATGGAAATGAGTATCACCACACGGAAGGATCACAGAGGGAAGATTGTTTTATACTCCTCGGCTGGTCTTCTACAGTTCTGGCTTAGTTGGTCGGAGGACGCTAACTGCCAGCGATTTTCTTCAACGAGAAGTACCGCCCCTTGCAGTTCCTTAGCCCCACAGTCAGCACGCACGCTAATTTTGGTTTGACGTCTGATTACTCATTGGGGTAAATCATGCTCGGGGCCAGCGGGAATAGTACACCATACCTTTCATGTACCATTAACTGACTACCTTCACCCTATATTTCCAGCTCGTGTACTACCGTTATTATACCATTAGAGCGCACTTTACACCGTTATATTTTGTCTTCCTTGTGATCTCGGCCAGGAGCCGCTGCAATCTTGCAACAACCTAACCGTCCAATAAAGAGATGGATTACTTTCTCCGACCAAAAGTTATTGATGCTGATCCTCATTCAGCAGATGGCAAGAAACGACGGACTCATTAATCAAGCCTGAAAGCTCCAATAAATTGGAAACCCTGATACATCACACTGACCGTACAGTTTGACTCCATTGCAGAATGTAGCGAAGATGATTCTGCGACACCCTTAATGGAAACTTTATGTTTGCCCGAAAAATATCGTGTACACATGCCAAATTTTAGCTACATACAAACAAGAACTCGACAAATATGTTGACCAATTCGTTCAAAAGACTGTAAATTAGGCATGCGCAACCGGGAAGTATCATTTTCCCTTACAGTCCTTCGCTGGGGGCGAGATGGCCCACGTGGTTAGAGCGCGAATTTACTGACTGGAAGGTCCGTGGTTCGATCCCGACCTCTGCCTCTCGACTTCTCCTGTCTAGGTTTGGGCAACCCCTTCCAACCTCTAGGTGGCATGGCAGTTGGTCACCGAAACGGTGCTACAGCTGAACGATTTTATTCTTTACAGCTTGTCGCTCACCGGGCTCCTCCCACACTCCCCCACCCATCGTACCATGCGGTACAATCAACCCATCTGCCAGTCCTCTAACCACTACTCCGTGTCTAAACCTTCGATCAGAAAAGTAAACCAAAATAACTACTTACTAAACTCAAAAGATCTGATATACGTTGCAGCCTTTAAAGTCCGTAATCTAATGTCAAATTGGACAACAGGCATCTCTTTCTGAAACCCAGCTTTCCTTCTCTATCGATTTGTGCTGTCTCTTCAAGCCGCTTAAGACGAACTCAGATGTTCCACATTTCACTCTTCGTGTATCTGGTGATCCTGACGCAATGGTTCGTGGTTTCCAGAGTGTGGGAGTCGCACTCAACCCCAAGGATGAAAGCGCTTTAATGGACTGGATCTCAGTGAACAGTCGCCATTGCACTGTGCGGTTGTCTGGCTCAATTAAGATTAACGCATGTTTATCGTGTCAACATACACCCCAAGAGACTCTAATTCTGAGACTGAGAAGAACGAGTTTTATCGAGATCTCTCACGACTGCTTCAGTCGGCAAGAAGAACGGACATAGTCCTCCAACTTCGGCAATAATATCACCGATTACTAAGTCGATGCTGAGCGTACGGATAATGGAGAGCGGCTCCTTCAGTTGTGCGCAGATCACCGTCTGTTCCTGGCCAGTACGAACTTCCAACACAAACGTTCACATCGAGTTACTTGGAGGTCAACTACCATAAGATTGCTGTGGACCCAATTGGATCATATGGTTATCAGTTACCCATAGAAAGCCTCAGTCAATGAATGTCGTTCATTCGGGGGTACGCAACTTGACTCTGATCATTCCATGGTGCGGGCCGGGTTGAAAAGAAAAAAGAAAGCGTTCAGCTGTAGCACCCTTCCAGTGCCTAGCTGCCATGCCACCCGAAGGAAGCACGAGGGCTGGGATGCTGCCAGGTTGCCCAAGCCTAGACAGGGGAAGTCGAGTGGCGGAGGTCGGATTCGAACCACGGACCTTCCGGTCAGTAAATTGCGCTCTAACCACTTGGGCCAGGGTTAGCACTCCGCTGTCCGTCAGCATTACGCATCCCAAAGGAGAGCAGCTACGCTCATCAACTTCGACAAGTTCCAGTACATGAAGAGTATCGAGCTGATCTAGCTAGGAAGCCACTGGAAACGCAGTCATGCGGATGACGAAGATTGCTCGATGTTTGAATGAAGGCGAGTGAAAAAAGTAATCGTGTCGGCCTTCAGAACTGTTTTTTCCAGACATCTGACTCGAGTAAATTAACACTGAATAATGTCGAGATCAGGTTTTTTTGTTGCCAAGAAGACCATACCAGTGTAAGGGTAGATGCTACGGATGGGGCATGCTAATAGTATTTCTCGTAACTGCACACTGTGTCTATTGGAAAGTGGAAATTTTTACCGAATTTGTGGCATTGCTTCGTAGCATTAGCTTACAGCTGAGTGGTAGTCAATGAATATTCAGGAAAGTTCAGGAAGAAGACGGATATTCAGTTTTTATAAACGAGATGCGCATGAGAGCATTGCTTTTCTTTCCAATTGTCTGTATTTGTTCAGTTGGTGTTTGCTAACAAATAAATCCGCAGCGGAAACCTTCTTCCTTTCACTAGCAACTGGCAACTATGATGATGCACGCAAATCCCTCAAACACCGAATAATCAGGAGCTTGAAGAATGGCAGAGAAACCTGGTGTAGTTCGAAGACCCGATAGATGGCGAACGCTTTCGCTGAAGACAACAGCTGCACACTGTATCAACTGACTCAATCAACCAGTCAAAAGACAGGTGACTGTGAAAAAATGTGTGAAAAAGACGGAACAGCCATTCACTCCCTCAATCGCCGTTTTGAGCCGTGGGCTGGGTACTTCGAAGGACAGTTCAGCTGGTCTCCTTCAACACAACCGCTGGAAGAACCAAACAGGCGCGAATAGAACAATGACATCAACCCGCCATCAGTAACCGAAATCCAGTGTGATATCAATCCTTAAGCGTGACAAGGCACCTGGCCCGGATGGTTTGCACCCGGCGCTCTTTAATGAATGTGGTGAGGTCCTGGTGAACATCCTGATGATCGTACTGCGAAAGATGGGAACGAAAACATAATAACAGCCACATGGATCCCCTCGAACATTATCCTAGATTTCAGCACAATAATGGCATGCAAAAGGCTCGGTATCGGTCGCACCTAAGGTGTTCTGTGGCATTATTTTGCATAGGCTGATCGATTATCGGAAGAGACGGGTTCGTAAAAATAGGACAAGGTTTCCCCATAGCCGAAGATGCATCGAGCATATCTTTACGTTGAGAAAAATTCTTGGACAGCGCCACTCTCTCAGACGTCCAACGTTGGTAGTTTTTCTTATTCTGAATTCAGCTTTCGACGCTCTTGATCGTGAGAAACTTCGGCGTTGCCTGGTGATGGAGGGTTTCCCTTCAAATTTATATCAATTTCGAGGGCACTGTATGCGAACTCCTGGGGGGGGGGGCGGTACGAGCATACGGAAAGCTTAAGCCTGGGTTCGCCAAGTACAGTGTTGTAAGATATTGCTGCTTACTCTCACTCCTCCCTTTCAACATTTTATTGATGCGATGCATGATATTTCTTTGCCTGCCGCGCGGTTTGACATGTGATTCAAACCTGAAAAGTGTAAATCGCTGCTATGATAATTAAACACAAACCTCATGCTTCCAGGTAAGCCAATTGACGCGGCAGATAAATGTGTTTACCTGGGCAGTTGTGCAAGTTCCGGTGGACTGGCTCTGGACGGGAGTAATTCTCGAATCTGGAAGGCCAGGGAGGTTTTTGACAATCTCCGACATCTATGGCGCCAAAGTGACGTGAGATTGTCAAGGGAAGGATTTACACTGCGGCGGTGCGATCCATACTGCTTTATGGATCAGAGACGTGGCCCCTACACGCAAACAACATACAAAGGATGTCGGTATTTGTTCACCGGTGTCTCTGAAGCACCGGTCAGGTTTGGTCAGATGGTCTTACGGAGAAGAAACTCTCGTGATGGATGAATTACTCACGCTTCATAGATTACGCCGGTTATGACATACATTCTCCATGCCAAAAGACCACCTGTCTCGCGGAACTATTTTCGCCAGCGCTGTGCTGAATGAAAGCGACTGAGAGGTGGACAATGTACGACCTGGCAACGAAGTACGAAAACACTGACCAGCA